CCGAAATGGGTGTGCGGGACGCATGCGGACGGCAGCCATGGGGCCTTCGGTGGAGCTCCCTATGGGGCCACGAAACGTGTGAGGGGTGTGCCGAAATGGGTGTGCGGGACGCATGCGGACGGCAACACTGGGGCCTTCGGTGGAGCTCCCTGTGGGGCCACGAAACGTGTGAGGGGTGTGCCGAAATGGGTGTGCGGGACGCATGCGGACGGCAGCCATGGGGCCTTCGGTGGAGCTCCCTATGGGGCCACGAAACGTGTGAGGGGTGTGCCGAAATGGGTGTGCGGGACGCATGCGGACGGCAGCACTGGGGCCTTCGGTGGAGCTCCCTGTGGGGCCACGAAACGTGTGAGGGGTGTGCCGAAATGGGTGTGCGGGACGCATGCGGACGGCAGCACTGGGGCCTTCGGTGGAGCTCCCTGTGGGGCCACGAAACGTGTGAGGGGTGTGCCGAAATGGGTGTGCGGGACGCATGCGGACGGGCAGCCATGGGGGCCCGGTGGATCCCTATGGGGCCACGAAACGTGTGAGGGGTGTGCCGAAATGGGTGTGCGGGGCATGCGGACGGCAGCACTGGGGCCTTCGGTGGAGCTCCCTGTGGGGCCACGAAACGTGTGAGGGGTGTGCCGAAATGGGTGTGCGGGACGCATGCGGACGGCAGCCATGGGGCCTTCGGTGGAGCTCCCTATGGGGCCACGAAACGTGTGAGGGGTGTGCCGAAATGGGTGTGCGGGACGCATGCGGACGGCAACGGTGGAGGTGGGGCCACGAAACGTGTGACGCATGCGGGACGCATGCGGAGCACTGGGGCCTTCGGTGGAGCTCCCTGTGGGGCCACGAAACGTGTGAGGGGTGTGCCGAAATGGGTGTGCGGGACGCATGCGGACGGCAGCCATGGGGCCTTCGGTGGAGCTCCCTATGGGGCCACGAAACGTGTGAGGGGTGTGCCGAAATGGGTGTGCGGGACGCATGCGGACGGCAGCCATGGGGCCTTCGGTGGAGCTCCCTATGGGGCCACGAAACGTGTGAGGGGTGTGCCGAAATGGGTGTGCGGGACGCATGCGGACGGCAGCACTGGGGCCTTCGGTGGAGCTCCCTGTGGGGCCACGAAACGTGTGAGGGGTGTGCCGAAATGGGTGTGCGGGACGCATGCGGACGGCAGCCATGGGGCCTTCGGTGGAGCTCCCTATGGGGCCACGAAACGTGTGAGGGGTGTGCCGAAATGGGTGTGCGGGACGCATGCGGACGGCAGCACTGGGGCCTTCGGTGGAGCTCCCTATGGGGCCACGAAACGTGTGAGGGGTGTGCCGAAATGGGTGTGCGGGACGCATGCGGACGGCAGCACTGGGGCCTTCGGTGGAGCTCCCTGTGGGGCCACGAAACGTGTGAGGGGTGTGCCGAAATGGGTGTGCGGGACGCATGCGGACGGCAGGAGGGAGGAGGGGGAGGAGGAGGAGGAGAAGGAGGTGGGACGCGGGGCGCTGTCTCTTCAAAACGAGGACCCAACACCACAGGATGGTTGGGAAAAACATGTTTACAGCCAGCGGTACCTCCTCGTCCACTTCCTCAGGTAAGTCCACACCCTCTTGACAAAGGTAAGTGTGCAGAATAGCGATGGCAGCATCCTTAACTGAGGTTGCTCGCGCTTCTGGAGTAGGTGGGCAGGTACTGGTGTCGCTGCTTGTGTTGGTTGTACACCTGCTTGTGCACCAGCTGAGGACGCCTGAGAATATATACCAGGACAGTAATTCGAGCATTGTTGATGTTCGGCAATTCCTTCGCCACTTCATGTATCATCTGATCTTCCGCTTCTCCTGTGCCCAGCTTCCTGAGTATCTGACCGGACGCCGTGCAGTCGAGCCCCAGTGTTGTGACCACCTCCTTCTATTTCTCTCGACGTTGTGGTGGAAGCATTGCGTTCTTGACCAGGTCAAGCTGCTTGTTACGCAGCACCTCGAACTTGGCCTCCCTTTGCTGCAGATCCTTTTTGCCTGGGCCAAGCTTCTCAGCAAACTCATGGATGTGTTTCTGCTGCTTGCCGATGTCCACCTTTGCTGTGTCAATGCGTTGAGACTCGGTCGCCACTTGTCCATTGACCGCGAACATGTGTTCCGTGACTGGTGTGCGCGTTGACCTTGGACTGCATCTGTTCACGTTCTGCTCGCAACGCCGTCCGCAGAGCATTCTAACGTTCACCCGTTCCTTTGCCGGCCAATTCGAGCCGCTTGTCCTTGTCATGGATTCGTGCCCGTGTTCCGCCTTCGTCAAAGGAGGCCCCACCTTCGTCACGCTCATCGTCATCACCATCCAGCGGCATGCAATCGTCAGGAGGCTTCTTGGCCATGGCCGCCTCCAGCTTCTTGACATGAGCCGGAACCTGACGCAGTTGTGTTGGGATCTCCCATAGTTTGGCGGCTGTTCCCATGTCTGGGCTCGAGCACAAATGCTGGGAGAGGACGGCTTCTTGTAGCTATAGAAGCATGTGGCCTTGCTACGCTTGCAATTCCAACAGGTCTCACGCGTAGCCTCGTTAAAGAAGCGTTCGCTCGCCTCATGCCAGCGGAGCCTGCAGAGCCACGTCCTTGCATCTCCGCTCGTATGATGCTCGGGCGGCTGACTTCCGTGAGGCGTGGCTGGCAGGTGCAAGTCGCGTTGCTGGCGCAACCCGCTGCGGGCCTCAGCACGCTGCCTCCTCGGGCGGCGATGCCAAGGGGGGGCCCGCGACCAAACCACCCCAACCCAGGCTGAAGGCCTCAATTTGCCCTCCATTTCCGGCGGGGTTCGGGGAACGTTGAAACAACACATGTGGAGCCCGTACCACCCTCCCGACTTGAAATTCGGGTCTTCGGATTGGGTTGGGGTGGTTTGCTAGGTGGTTTGCTAGGTAGTCAGACGGGGGACCGCTGAGCCTTCTGCATGCCCTCGTGGCCCTGGCAGACGGGTCGGAGGGTTGTGCGCCCCCGCTCTGCACCGGGCAGCGATCGCAAGCAGCGTGAACGCGGCGTGTGGCCCCGTGGGGAGTTCTCTCTGGGCAGCGTGCCGCCTGGATAGAAGCCACACCTGGTGTTGGACGCTTTTGAGCTGGCGGCGCGACCACATGCGTACGCGGTTGACATCACCACATGGGAGGGGGGAGAGGAAGAGGACAGGCAAGACGAGCTTCTCAGACGTTTTTCCCATCCGCGAAGGCGCGGCGACGGCGCTGGAGATAAGAAAGCACGGACCGATGCTCGGAACAGGAGTCGCAACACAAAGTGAGCTTGTGCCACATGTTTCAGACTGCGCTGAGTTTCTGTACATTGCGCTGTGTTGTGTTGCATTGCGCTGCGCGCCCAGCAGCGTTTTTCGTTGAATGGTTTGCCATGCTTATGCCATAATTTCCTATGAATTGTTTTGCTTCGCTATGAACTGCATTGATTTTCTTTGCTTGCGTTGCGCTTGCACAACGCCTTGTGTTTTTGTTTTGTTTTGTTGGTATTGATTTGATGTTGTGTTTTGCGTTGCATCGCATTGTCTACCAATGACTTACTTTGCTGTGCTCTGCATTGCGCTGCACCCGTCATAGAGCAGATACTCCCACCAGTCTGAGAGAGGATATTCTGAACTCTTCTAGGCAAGCCTTTTTGGGAATCAGGCAAGCCCATCGTCGAGCATGCGGTATTCCACCGCGCAGAGTCGGCTGGTTACGATGCCCACTCTGGGTTTTGCCCCCGCGCGCTAAGGGTCATGGGCCCTCTCGAGGCCCACCTGGGACCCGCGTGGGCCTCGGAACCCGTTGGAGCCTTTTATGGGCGTTCTTGGTGGTCAAATGGAGCCTCCTTGCTCCGTTTAGCTGTCTTTGGGCAGCCTTGGAGCATCTTGGGGCCATCCGAGTAAAGGTTGCTGCCTCAAAGGCGTCCAGATCCAAGATGGGGTTTCAAGGTCAGACTGTGTTTCAAGCGCAGTGGCCATATCGCAGGAGGCCATCGGGGCCTCATGTTGGGCATGTTGTGAGCATGTTGCTGGTCTTAGGGTTAAGCCGGGCATGTCCCTCTACAGGAGGAATATTCAAATATAGTTCAGCAATAGTTTGGGGACGAATTTTCGATTTTTGGGTGTATTTTGGGACTATTTTTCATTATCCGTCCCAAATCCGCCTGTAGGGGGACATGCCCGACCTATCTTAGGGGACGTGGGGGGGGGGGCGGGTTCCTTGGAGCAGCGTCGAGCTGGCCCTGGCGCCGTTCTCGGACGGCCGTGGCCCTCATCGCGGCTTTCCAGGGAGGCTTTGCCGCCGCCTGTGTCAGCCCTGGGGGCTCGTCTTGAGGCCTTCCTGAAGCCATCCTCAGCGATGAAGGATCGCATGAAATTTGCAACCCAACGCTCGTGTTTTTCTCAGTGAGTCAGTGTGTGTGTGTGTGTGTCTGTCTGTGTGTGTGTGTGTGTGTGTGTGTGTGTCTGTCTGTGTGTGTCTGCGTGTGTGTGTGTGTGTGTGTGTGTGTCTGTGTCTGTGTCTGTGAAGTTGTGTGTGAGTGAGTGAGTGAGTGAGTGAGTGTGTGTGTGTGTGGCATCCGATGGGCTTTTGATTGTCTCGTCGGAGCCTCGTGGCAGCCCTTGGGGACGTTGGTCTCGCCCCGACGATACATGGTATCACTAGACTCATAATGTCAAAGAAGCCAGGGCATTCGGGCCCCAGGGCGGCCTCGGACGTCTGGACTCCGAGGCATGTTCAGTGTCCGAGGTGCTGCGGTGAGGGCCTAACGCCGCGTTTGCCCGTTGTGCTGGCGAGTTTCCGGGATTCTCTCAACATGAGTCCGTAGTTTGTCTCAAGCACCTTTGCTTGAGTTGGGGCCGCGTCGCCCCAGCGGCCCATGGCGCCCTCCAGAGGCGCCCACTGTCTGCGCTCGGCTGCTGCGCTGGCCCGGGCGTGCGCTGTGCCCTGTGCAAGGAGCCCTCGCCGCACGCGCTCTTGCGCTTGGCGCTTCGGGAGCCTGCGCTTCGCGGCTGCGGGCCTGCCGCAGGGCGCGCCGCCGCCCAGCGCGGATGCCTCCACGCCCCCCCCCGCGCTGACGCCAGATCGGCTGGACGCCGCGGTGGGCGAGTGGTGGCGGGCGGCAGGGTCGACGCCGCGGCTGGCGCGCCTGCTGCAAGACGAGCACGACGTTCCGAGCTTCTTTCTGCAGCACGAGCGCCTCCTCCACCAATTCAGGGCGTTCTTGGACGCGCGGCCGGCCCTCCTGTCCGACGTGGAACCGCTGCTACTGCTGAGCCCAGCGCAGGTGCTGGACCCAGGGGTGACTGCTGGCGGCGAGGCGGAGCTGGCAGTGCGGCCCTTCCTCGCTGCGGTGAGCTCGTTCGTCGAGGAGGCCTACGCGGCCCAGCTGGCGAGCTTCAGGAGCGCCAGGCACATGGCCGACCTGAGTTCCCCGCAGGACTGGTTCCCCGTTGCGCGCAGAATGCGCCGGCATTGGTGCCTCCACTTGGGTCCGACTAACAGCGGCAAGACGCATGTCGCCGCCAGGCGCCTACTGGCATCGGGCACGGGCCTGTACATGAGCCCTTTGCGGCTGCTGGCCTGGGAGATGTACGAGAAGATGCGGCGCGCTGGATTGCGTTGCGCACTACGCACTGGTCAAGAGTGCATCGGGCCCGATGACGCGACACACGTAGCCTGTACTGTCGAAATGGCGCCCGTCACCACCAGGGTGGACATCGGGGTGCTGGACGAGGTGCAGATGATCGTCGACGACGCGCGGGGGGCGGCCTGGACGCGGGCGCTGCTGGGAGCGCCTGCTCGTGAGCTGCACCTGTGCGGGGCGATGGAGCCCTCGGGCTTGCAAGACCTCTTGCGGAAGCTCGCGCTCGAGTGTGACGACACTGTCTCGGCCGAAGCCCACCAGCGCATGGTGCCACTGGTCGTGGAGGACCGGCCGCTCGGCAGCCTCGGGCAGACAATGGCAGGCGATTGCGTCGTGTGCTTCACTCGCCGCGACGTGCTGCTGGTGAAGGCCGAGCTTGAGCAGCTTGGACTCGCGCCCTGCGTCATCTACGGCACGCTGCCGCCCGAGGTGCGCCGCGAGCAGGCCGCGCTGTTCAACGACCCCGCCAGCGGTCACGACGTCTTGGTTGCCAGCGATGCCATCGGGATGGGCCTCAACCTCCAGATACGGCGCGTGGTGTTCCGGACACTGCGGAAGTACGACGGGGAGGTTGTCCGCCGCCTCGCGCCCGCGGAGATCCGCCAGATCTCCGGCAGGGCGGGGAGGTATGGTGGGCGCTACGCATCCTGTGGCAGGGTGACCTGCCTGACCCCGGACGACCACGCGGTGCTCCTGGAGGTGCTGGGCGACACGGGCGCGGCGGCCGAGGAGGCGCAGGTTGCCCCGCGGGCAGCGCTGCTGCCTCTGCCGGAGCGGCTGGGCGCGTTCGGCCAGGCGCTGGAGGCAGACCTGCGGCGGGCGCTGCCCTTTTCGGACCTGGTCAGGCGCTTCCTCGCCGCCGCCACGGTGCCCCCGCACTACTTCCTGGCGCGGGCCCGCGGCGTGCTGGAGGTCGCGGAGGCGCTCGCGGAGGTGCGGCTGGCGCCCGGCGAGAAGCTGATCTTCTGCCAGGCTCCCGTCGCTCCGCAGGATGCTGGCGCCATGGCCGCCCTGCTGGACTTTGCCAAGGCCTACGCGACCAGCGGACGGGCACCGCTGCCAGAGCTGCGGCTGCCGGAGCCTACCAGCGCCGTGACCGCGCGCCACATTTTCGATCTGGAGGGGCTGCACAAGGTATACGACACCTATCGAAGACGCCTACTGCACATCACCGCCGCCCCCTGCTTTTTGGAAGCTCCTGTGTGGCCCAACGTTGCGGCCAGTCCCGGCCAGTGCTCGGCCGAGCTATCGGACTATGTGTTTCCCCAGCCTTTGTGCACACCCTTCGGGGAACACATCGGGGAGAAAAAGGGAGAGGAGGGGAGCGAGGAGAAATGTGGAGGAGGAGGAGGAGGACGAGAAGGACCAGCGTAACCCCAAGACGCATCCACGATGTTGCAATTCACCCTTCGTCCAAGTTCCCTCTTCATAGGTACCTACAGGAATTTGTTTTACTTGTGGGAACTGCCCCATTGGATGAGAGCCGTTTGAGAATTAGAAATCGTGCAAGAACACAGTTCCTAGGACTTCAACGCAGCGAGTCAACATAACTGTTGCGTCCTGACCGTTTTTTACTACGCAAGAGCACCATTTCTGGGACTTCAACCTCACGAATCCTTGAAAGTGCTGTTGATATTCAAAACGAATCCGCGCAGCGCTGAGGCGAGAGCCACATTTTGAAAAGGAATCGCACTCCATTATTGGAACTGTTGCGAACCTTTAAGCGTATGTGCGCGGCGGTACGGTGAGAGCCACATTTTGAAATCCACCCGCCTTCCATTCTTCACATTGTTGCGAACTGTGAAGGCGAATGCGCGAGGCGCTAAGGCGAGAGCCACATGTTGAAAGCGACCCGCCTTCCATCTTCGAAAGTGCGGCAAAGTCTGAAAATGGCCGCGCGCGGCGCTTTGGCGAGAGCCACATCTGGGAAACCACCCGCCTTCCATGCGTGGAACTGTCGCAAATGTCAAGCCTTCAGGATCAGAAGTGGTGAGGAAGTCTCTAGCGAAACGCCCCGCCCGCCCCAGAAACGTCTGCGGGTGCGACAGGGAGGAGCTATCTAGAAAGAAGACGGGTTCGGAGAGGTCTCTTGGAAGCCTTTAGGGGCACTCTTGGGGCTCTTCCTGGGGGACCCTTGGGAGCTTCTTTGGTGCTTCCTTGTGTCTCTTGGGGGCCTTGGCCGTCTGAGGTTTCTCCTGGCCCCCCTAGCGCCGTCGGAAGCCGTCTCGGGGCCTCTCTGGGCCGACTTGGGGCACTCTGTGGGCGCTGCAGGGCCGTCTTGGAGGCCATCTTGGGCGTCTTTGAGGTTTCCTGGGTCGTCTTGCGGCCCTCGTGGGGCCGTCTTTCCGGCCGTCTTTCCGGCCGTCTTGGGGCCCATTCCGGAATCCTCTTGAGGCTATTTTGGGGACCTCTGGGGCCGGCCGTGTTCGGCCCGAGCGCCCAAATCAAATGGTTTTGGTTTCTTCGAGCCTTGGAAGCCTCTTGGGCCGTCTTGGAGCCCTCTTGGGCCGTCTTGGGCCATCTTGAGGCCATCTTGAGGGCAGCCCTGCCCGTCGTGAAGACATCTTGGGACCATCTTGGGCTCTCTTGGGGCCATCGTAGCCCTCTTGGAGACCATCTTGGCCGTCTTGGAGGCCGTCTCGGGGCCGTCTAGAGCGGGAAGACTGACGACCTGGGTAGTTTACCGGCCCTCACGGGGAACGGACCGACGGGAGACACCTTCCACGGGTCTTTCTGGATGGCCGGCGCAACAGGCCGAAGGCCCTTGGGAAGCTGTAATTCCCATGGCAAGACCACCGGGGTACGGCGGATGACGGAAAGAGCGAGGTACGAGTGATGGCGTTGTGTTGGAGCGAAGCCCTCTAGGAAGGGGTCCAGGGGAGGGGCGAGGCCCGGGTACAATGGTCTAGTGGTCCGTTTCACCTGTATTTTTTCGAGTGAAGCGGCTCCCGGGCGGCTCCTAAGGCCCGTTTCTTAGTATTTTTTCAGGTGAAGCGGCCCACGGACCCTAAGACGGTCCAAGAGGGCCCCAAGACGGCCCCAAGAGAGCTTCAGATGGCCGCTAGACGGTCCA